AAAAAAAAAAAAGACAACTTTTCATCAATGGCCTCTTTTGGATATTTCCTGTTTCTCTGTGGGTTGAGTCAGGCTCTGTCAAGTTACCCAATCTGGTGGTAAGTTTTATTCTTCTTCTTCGTTGTTGTTGTGTGTGTGTGTGTGCGCGTGTTTTTTTTTTCCTCTCATTTTCATTTATTTTCCCCTCCTCTGCTTTACTCTGCAACCCCTTGCGCTCACCGTGACTTGAAATTCTCCTTTCGTTGCCACTCAGCTAAAGGAGGTGGGATTGTTCCAGCGCCAGCAAGTTCTTAGAACCTGCATTTCACCTCTTTTATTTATGCATTCGCTTTGTTTATTTTGACTGGGTTATACCTGAGCTCTCCTTCTCCCTCTGTAGCAGAGCGGGAGCGATCGGAAAGTTCTTCTGCGTGTGTTGGGGTTTTTTTCGGTTGTTTTTTTTTTTTTTTTTTTTTTTTTTTAAAGCTCTTTGATCCTCTCCTGTGCAGAACAAAAGGCGCTGCCTGAATTAAAGAGATAATGATACAAGTTGACATGAGCATTTCAAGGTGATTTCGAGCCAGTCAGGTGGAAGGAAGGGGGGGGCAGAGGATGGAAAGATGTCTTTTCCCCCCTTCGCTTTAAAGGATATGCAGGGAATGAATGGGAAGAAAGAGGTGAGAGGGGCACAGCGACCTGCGCGGAAGGCAGCGGAAAGTTGCGCGGTCCCAACTGGGGTAAAAAAAAAAAAAAAAAAAAAAAAAAAAAAGGGGTTTTTGGGGGTTTTTTTTCCACCCCCCACCCCTATTAAAAATTTTTTTTTTTTTTTTTTCTCCCCCCCCCCCAAAAAAAAAAAAAAAAAAAAAAAAAAGCAAATGGTGCTGGGCAAGGCATGTAACTGCACGATCTGCTCTAATTACCCCGCGGAGGTAATTGGGCTGAGGGAAGCCCTTAGACAAGGGAGGGAGAGCGGAGAGGGGAAGGCGCAAAGAGAGTTCTGCGCTCCTCCGGCGGCTGCGCGGGTGCGGAGCGGTCCGACGGTGTTTGGAGGCTGTTGGGATGGGGGGGGAGATCGGGGTGAGCCCGCGGAGGGACAGAGCTCGGGGATGGAGCTGGGGAGGTGCTGCTGAGCACCGGCGGAATGTGTGTGTGTGTATGTATAGATACATTTATATCTATCTCGGCTGTTCTTTTGACGCGCCTCTAAAGGAGGGAGAGGGTTTCGGGTGCGCTGAGCGCGGTGCGTTGAAGGCAGAGTCCCTGCAACTATGTCAGGTATGTCTGAGAGCAGAGGGAAATCGTTGGGATGGGAGAGAGGCCATAAAATGCAAATGCGCTCTTGGGAAGACAGGCAGAAAGAGCAGCACCTGGACGGGAGTCATTAAAAAACGATCTTTTATTCCCAGCCACCGTCTAACTTATAATTAGAAACTCCGGTTGCATTCCTGATTGGAGAAGGAAGCGCATTCCTCCAATACCAACATAAATATTCCCCTGTCACCCGGCGAGGGGCAGAGCCCGCAGCTCGTGGGGTTCGGGGTGGGGCCGGGGGGGCACAAGGGACAGGAGTTGGTCCGAGCGCACATCGGCTGTGTGCGGGGGGACAGAAGCGGTGATGCTTTTTCCCCTTCCCTCTCTATATTTTTCTATTCAACCCCCCCCCACCCCTCCTTCTCATCCTTTCACTCGGTGCCGTCCGGCGGTTTTAGACGTTTATCTTGCAAAGAGAGCAAAATCCCTTCAGGCGATGGAAATGCGAAGGTTCGGGGTAGGGATGGGGGAGTCGGGCCGGGCGCTGTTCCGCTTGCTGCTGCCTTTTGCCTCCGTGTACATTCCTGTCCCAGTTTATTTATCATCAAAACGAGACGTAAAACCCGCAGCCGCCCCTTGGCCGGACCTGGGGGTACTCAGGGGGGGGGTGTGAAGGGGCCGAGGGCTGCGTGGGGGCACTCGGGACAGCCCCGTTCAGATCATAGCGGTGGGAGTGCAGTCCTCTTCCTCCAAATCGTTGTGCTCTGCAAGGACAGCTCGCTTCCAGTCTACTCAGTTTAGAAAATCGACAGCCTGTCTTTCTTTTATTTGAATTGAAAGCTGTCCTTTTTTCTTCCGTTTTCCCTTTTTATTATTATTATTATTACACATTTTCACTATTTTTTATTCACTTTTGGTAGGGAGTACGGAGCCAGAAATGTTTCACTCGGGGAGTGCAAGCAACAAACACCTCTCCTCAAACATCACTTTTTAAAGCCTCCCCAGCATCTGCTCACAGCCACATGAATGCTCGGGGCAGAATATCCCTCATTCTCCATCCCCAAATTGTCCCCCCTATGAATGAGGGTTCCTAATTAAAACATAACCTCACCCCAACGGGCGCAGAGCGATGGATGCTCGCTCTGCTCCCAGCTTGAGCAAAACCAGGGACTGAGAAACGATGCTCCCCTGTAGGGTTTGGTTAATTATTCTCCCAGAGGAAAGAAACTGGGGGAAACACCAGGCATGTATCTGTCAGGGGGAGCAAGCAGGCATGTGGCTGTTACTGTAATTGCCTCCAAGCAGAGCCCCCTGCTCGGCTGCGCCGTTCGAGTTGCCATTCCCACTGTGGCATAGAAGCACCTGCTCAAAATGGGGCTGTGCAGTGCTGGGTGGGCTCTGCACAGCCCCCGGTCTGTAGGGAGGGAATGTAGAATAAGAGAAGAGAAAACGTGGAGAAAAAGGGAAAAAATCCCCCCGAGCTGCTGTGCTCTGCCTGCATCCTTTAGTGACGATGTGGGGGCAAAGCTGCTAGAGCTTCCTAAAAACAGACAGTTCCTAAATAACGTGCTTTCAGAAATGGAAGAAATGGGATTTGGGAATAACGTAGGAGAGATCGGGTGACAGGGAGGCGGGTGCTGTTGGGACTGAGGTTGTAAGTTAAGTTTGCAGGGACGTGCCAGCGTGATTTATTGCGGTACCGGCACTCCATGGGACTTTCCCCAGCACTGCACTGCACTGCGCTGTGCCACTTAAAGCAGCCCCTGAAGGCTCTCCTGCATTCAGATCAATAGCAAAATAATAACAATAAGCCCGTGTTTATTTCAAATCTCAGTGCTCTTGTTTGCCTAAAAATAAGAGAAGAGAGAGCAGGAAGGAGAATTAGGAAATGCAGAAGCAGAATTCATGAGCAGAGAGGATTAGATGTCCCCCGTCCTGCTGGCGTCCAGACACAAGTGGAGGCACCACAGTGTTACAGCTTTTCCCAGCTAACTTGCATTGCCTTAACTGGCTGGCTGCACATGTAGTGCAAGAAATGCGTATATATTTTGTTTCTTAGCAGATGGCATGAGGTCAGACTTGGTTCAGGGACAGCCAGAGAGTGCAGAAACGGCTTGGGAGGAAGAACGGTTCGATTCAGGAAGAATGGTGGGATGCAGGTTGATGCAATGTGAACTGGTTGGGGTGAACTGGAAGCCCCACAGGAGATATCCTAGGATCACTAAGGTTGGAAAGGATCACTAAGGGCACCTCGTCCAGCCACGAAGTGAAAAGATAAAAGTATCAGAGGTTGATAGGTGAGATCTGGTGGAGCTCCCATCTCATCTGCTGCTCTCTGTACCACCTAAGTGAGGTGGGATGGCACTGGCCTCCTAATAAACTGGGTTAAGAGATGAGCAGTAACAGCTAGGAGCTGAGTGAAAGCAGCATCACTGAAGATGGACAAGAAGGATGTGTGTTCAGGATGTTTTCCTAACTTCCACCTCTTTTCCCATTGATTTTAGCTTCTTATTTCTCGTTGTCCAAGAGTGGTTAAAGCAGCACTGTTGGTTGAATCATCCATGTAGGATGAGACTGGCCAAAGCTGGTGATTTTCTATAGCAGCCATTTTGCAGCCCAGAAGGCTTTGAAAAAGTGATTCATTATGTTTTTCCATTCCTATTCCTTGTGCTTCAAGAAATATGGACTTATGGGAGCAGGGTGGGAGGGCAGCCTCACCGTTGGAAAGATATGCTGGAAGAATTATTCCAGCAGTATGCAGGTGCAACAGCTGAATGTGTCCCTGAGAGCTGAATGGCAACACTGCAGGAAGAGCAATGCATGGATGAAGTCCTAGTTTGTGCCATGTTTCAGGTCTCCCCTGGCATTTCTCCACCTTAGGGTGAGGGAAACAGCCCCTCATTTGCACTGGGATGCAGTGAAAGCCAAGCTGAGCTCTGGATCCCATGAAAAACACAATTCCTTTTTTTTTTTTTCATGACAAATCCTAGAGAATGGAGCTGAGTCTTGGCAGGCTCCACATTTGAGTAACCAAAGCTTAGGTTTGGCAGAGAGTGAGCACGTTAAGTGAGAAATGATCATTCCTCATTAACCGGGAGGGAGGCAGAGCCATGGAAGGTCACCCAAGGGACAGCATGAGCCAAGCAGGTTGACATCAGAGCTCCTAAAGCAAGCTGTAGAGCTCAGAAACATGAATTGCATCTACCCCTTCTTCCTCTGATCCATTAACTCGAGCTGAGGATTTTGACATTTCCAAGGCAGTGGTATTCATCTTCAATTCTTCTGCTACTGCAGCAGGTTGCAGTGTGATGTTAAACAGCTGTCATGCTCTTCTGCAGAGGTGGTTGTATGTGGTGCAATCCCTCTACATGCTCTCCTCTCCCACCCTTGCCCCAAGGGTTGGGAATTGCCTTTATATATATGTAACACCTATGTTACAACAGTATCTTACATGGCCCCTTTTTGCCAGACAGTGCGTCATCACAGAATGATGCTTTAGCCTTTTCTCAGATACCAACTCTCCTATCATCTTGGATATTCCTAAGCATAGCAGGGGTGATTTGCACCCAAGCAGCAATGGGCATAGAGGGCACATGGGCTGAGGAGACCTTTTTCATCAATATAAGTAGTAGGAAACTGCTCCTTCCTGGTTTGTGCTTGAGGTGTAGCGTGCAAAGGCATTGGACCAAAGCATTAGCTCAAGGAAAGAAAGCTTTTTCCAACAAGGAATAAAAAAATGTGAATTATTTTGCTCCCCAGCCCTTTTCAGGTAGTTCTACAGTCAAAACACATCCTTTACATACCTTTGAACACCTCTAAGACATCTCATCTGAAAACCATGGAGCACTTAGTAATACGGCTTAGGTAC